GTCGTCGTCGTTGTTGTTGTGGTTGTTGTCGTCGTCGTTGTTGTTGTGGTTGTTGTCGTCGTTATCGTTGCTGTTGTTGATGACGTTGTCAATTCTATATGAAACAAGAACATTTAATCGAATTTTCTTCATAATTCACCACATATCTATCGATGAAAATATATCTGACTGTAAATACATTCATATGGATTTTCTCGTCTCTTCTTCTATAATATTTATTTATAATTATGTTTCTATTACAACAATTGTAACAAATTATCAAAACTTACGAGAAAATAATAACCTTTACATGTAATAAAGTTTATGAAATGCCTACTATTAATTATCATTCAAAAATATAGTAAAGTTTTTTATTGTCATAATTTATACGACAATAAATAGATTGTTCCATAAATCATGTATCATACCCAGGACGATTATTATGACCACCGAAAACGCCATCTTAAACGGCTTGAAACGATTATGAAACGGTGTATTGTTGCAACGCAAAAGCATCCGTTTCCGTCGTTTTTATACCGTTTTTATTTCGTTAACGTTGCCGTTGTCTTTAGCCTGACTATGTGTAATTTTCTATAAAATAGCTAAGCAAATGAGTCTCTTCTCTGAAGACTATATTGATCTCATTTATTAAAATCTATATAAAATGTCAACAATAATGTTTTCTGTTATTTCATTAACTCAAATAGTTATAATTAATAACTATTTTCATTAATTAAAAACATATTTGTTCCTTTTTTTTATATTTTTATCATGAAGGAGCAAGTGGGTAAGAGCTCAATCTGTCGCATATAAACGACAGGATACATGATGAATAGAGAATGCGCTTTAAAAGAATAATTATTTTAGTTTTGAAAAAACTACTTAAGCAATTCTTTTGTTAAAATATAAATAGTCTACTATTCAACGAGACTCAAGTCTTTTACATCTCTTTTATGACGTATTCTTTGTTTTTACCGAAGATAAAACTGTATATATTATTTCTTTAAGCTTCGTTATTCGACTAGAATATACAGATGAATAAGTAAAATCTTGATTTTTTGAAAAACTACACCTTTTGGTGTTGTACTGGGTTCTGTTGTCAGTTCTACTTTTTCTGTTGTTGTCGATTTGTTAACAGATGTTTTTTTCGTTAATACGATAGTTGTTGGAATAATTATGATCAGCATAACAACAACAATAGAAATTATGATCCACATCAATTTTCTCTTTTGAAATCGCTCATATCTAGAATAAAAAAGATCCATTTTATATTTACTACAGTTTATAATATACGTACATGGTTCGTAATAGAGTAGTTGGTGTTTGAGCGTTGCCATCATTTGCTGGTTGAGACTAAAACAAGTAAAAAAAACATACATTATTTCGTATTAATTCTCTTAATATATTACAAGATAAGCTTCTGCTCTGTTCTTCGCCATAGCCGATATTTTTACTTGAGCCTAATATTCGTAGAACACTTGTGTAATTGACGATCTATGAGAATTCGAAAATAAATCAAAATAGTATCTCAAAGTTTTTAATCGTGCACAATAACTGTTAAAGAACTATTTAAAATTATTTATGAAATGCAGATTTTTCAGTAAAAACAAGAAGAAAATTATGCAAATATTTAATGGGTATGATAAGCATAAAAGTCACACACAAAAACAAGGAAATGCGTAAATTAGTTCTATATTTTTTTCAGTGTTTAGTATTATTCAGTATAAATATCAAACTAAAATGGATAATATAATCGATCTGATACCCAGTATTATCATAATGAACAAGTAGAAATTATCATTTTAAACAATTCCTAGGTCCCAATCACATTCAGCTTCGTTACAAGTTTATTCATATCTGTTAAAGCAATACATAAAAGTGTATTTTTGTGTTTTGAACATGTTCAAATAATTTTATTTTCCTCTTCATAAGAATATTCTCTATCTTTCAATAAAATTTATCGACATTTATTTTTAAAGTATATTCATATAAAATGACATATGGTTTTTGTTAGCTTTGCTACATATTTGGCAGTATCTAATCAGGACAAAATAAGAAAAAAAGTTTTGAGTTAGTGTATCAGTATCCAATCATTTTCAAGTGACAAATTTCATTAGATCTTTTTATTTCTTAAGTGATTATTACTTTATCTTAAGTGTGCTAAAAAAAATAAGATTTTTTTCTTAATTAATTGACTAAAAAATCTATCAAAAATCTGCTTTCGAAATACGATGTTTATTAGGCAATTTATTAGTTGATGATGCTTTTAAAAAACTTGTTTGTATTAAGAAATTTCGAATTGAAGAATACAGTGAATAATAGTAAAAAACTTAATGATAAAAAATATCTCTGAACTACAGCAAACATAGTCATTTTACTAATGCGTGATTCGTTTGATGCAAAAAAATTCTTATGAAACACAATATACAAGTAAAAAAGAATATGATGCGTTCTTTTTTTTCTCTTTACAATCCCTTATGAACAAAATGATGACAGATGTGAGTTAAAAATATTCAATATAAAATTCAATAAAAAGCATGATTTATCAAAGGAAATTCAAAGTATATTTAATAGAAACAGAACACTTATACTAGAATGTTTTATTGTAAATTGTTCATTTAAAAAAATAATCAGTTACAACCGATGTCTTTCTTAAGCAATGAATTGTATTCAACTCAATAGCATTCGACGATTGTTTCATTTAAAATCATACTTCCATAGTTAAATATTAAACGAGAATCAAAAATATTTATTCTTCTTTCATTGTGTTTTTTTTAATAAAATGAATAAAAACGAATATGCTCTTGTCGATATTTCATTATACTCATGAGAAAAGATTGTTCTGCTTAGAAGTTTAATCTTATACTTACTACATGCATATATTTGTGTTTTATTGCGAAGATTTTTACTAGCAACTTATAGAGAAAAAAATATGATACCTTCCAATAAGATATTTGTATAATTCTGTAAGATTAGAAAATATAGATCTTACGTCATTAGATTGCCAGTAAGATTTATTTTTTCCACCTGAGCGTATCAAAGTAAATAGTTGCTTTGTTTTGTAGATCTCTTTTCTCTACTAGCTTGAACATATTGAAAGATTTTGTGAGTATGGGATGATTCCAAGTTCTGCAGTTACGTTTATGTTTACATCGACGCCAATATCTAAACTGTCCATATAGCAATGCTTATACATTATCCAATATTTTCTCGAACTCTTGGTTAGAAAAACAAACGCATATACTCTTCACACCCTCACAAAAAAAAGAAAAATCTTTAAATATAGAACATCCTCGTATTTTCTATATTGTAAGCTAATAAATAGAAAAATCTCGTCCTTTATTGTTTGATCAATATACTGGAATATTCAAATCACAATAGCTTTATATAATATTTATATAGTAACACGTGTTTTTAATCCCATTCTGCAACTGCAGCTGAACTAGCAGAAGATGTTCTACCACTCAAATTAGCTGCTTGATTTGAATTGTCAGAACTATTCCCTCCAGGTCGCATCTAAAAAGAAAAATTTTATTAACTATAAAAATTATATTATTAATTTTACATTAGTATTTCGTCCACTATAACCACCACGACTAAATCCACTATTTGAATTACCAGCATATTGCTGGAGAAATTCTGGTACTTCGTGTCCAGCCTAAGAAAATAATCAAGTTAAAACTATTTTAAAATTTAAAAACTTTCATACTTCAGTTAGTTTTAATATAAGTTCAGGAGCAAGTGTACGATCAGAATCACGTTCTGGATCAAAAAATGATATAGATTTGCCTAAACGACCAGTATGACCAATTTGATGAATATAAAGATCAATTGAATTGGGTAAATCATGATTAACGACATAACCAGTCAAAGGAAAATCAAAACGGCGAGCAGCAACTGATGTTGCAACAAGGATAGGACATTTACCATTGGTAAACTGTTGTACAGCTTCAGTACGTTGTCTTTGTGTTCGATCACCATGCGTTACTGTGCTCATTAATTTCTTTTGTGAAAATAATGCTCCTATATAATCTGCTTGTCGTTTTGTTTCAACAAATATTAAATAACGTTCATCTTCTGAAAATGTCAGAAATAAAAATAATATGTATTTTAATAATTTTATTTATTATACTCAGATTTTGTTCAAGTAATTGAAGAAGACGATCTTTTTTTATCGCCTTGTCGAACTTCTTCAATTATTTGTATTTTATCTTCATTAGTACCACCTTATAAAAACAAAATAATAATAATTATTATTTATTGAAGATAAAAAATGAATGATTAGTTACCTTCAGGTGTACATTGAATTTGTGTTCGATGATATTTTCCAAAATTTTCACCTTTTGCTATTGCTTCACCAAAAATATCATCTTCTGATAATGGTGCAGGCGGTGGAATATAACGTTCCGTAGGTTGACTAGTAGCACGACCACCCGCTAATAGAAATTATTGTATTTATTATTCTAGCTTGTATATATATACTTACGTTGACCGAAAATATCATCAGAAACCTAATTAAATGAATATATTTTTTGAAGATTTTATACTGAATAGAAACTTACTCGGTCATTTCTTCGACCGCCACCACCACCACCGGCACTAAAGAAGCTAGAACTGCCAGCTTCTAAGTGATATTACAGAAATAAAAATGAGAATTACAAACAACAAAAAACAATAATACTACGAGGTTTTCTTTCTTGTGGACAGTCGCGAGACTGATGACCGAATTGATCACTATGTAGAAAAAGTCAATCAACAAAGATAAAAATACATCTTCAAGACAAACATACCAGTTGTAACATTCTAAATGAAAAAGAAAATCATATCAAGCAATGTAATTAAAGTAAAATCATTACTTACTTCCACTATTACCACCACTACGGCCACTGCGATCACCTGAACTAAATCCACCACTACCGCCTCGACCGCCTATAATAAATAACTTTTGTTTCTATTTAAAATAAAATATTGTTTACCTCGAAATCCTCCTCTACTATTAAAGCCACCACGACTTTCTGATTTACCGAATGTTGAGCTATTCTTGACATCTTCTGAATCATTACTATTACTTGTTGCAGACTTTCGCCAGCCACGAAATGATGGCTTTGAGTCACTGTTATTTTGATTTCCTGAATTTCCAAAGTTGACAGGCTTAGATCCAGGTCCATCATTCGATTCTGGTATGAAATTAATATTATGATCATCACTATCATCTGAATCGAATCCACCACGACTTCCATTTGAACTGAAGCAACTATGATCACTACGATTTTCTTTTCGTGGTTCCTGGCATTCTCGACTCATATGACCAGTCTGGTTACATTTATAGCATCCTTTGAAATAAAGAAAAAAATGAAGACTAAAGTTTGATTAATTTCTTTTATAAAATATTATATTTCTTAGATATCTGAATTATACTTACTGTGAGAATCAACATTATTATTTGAACCAAATCCTCCTCCACCAACACCAGATCCACCACGTCCACCTCGACCTGAGTAGAAAATCTTACGTTTCAACTGTAGATATCAAACTGAGAATAGTTACCACTAAAACCACTACCTCCACTATCATTATTTCGTGAGCCAAAACCACCACTACCGCCATTCATTGGACGACTGTTTTCATCGTTGTGACTACTACGAAAACTACCAAAACCTTTAGACGCACCACTACGATTGCTATTCCAGTTTGAAGATGGTGCTGCTGGTTCTAAAATAAATATATCATTAAAAAAACCAAGAAAGAAATAATTTTCGCTATCATTGTTTGTTACAAATGGTGCGATATCACGTTCAATACTCATTTACATTGGCACTTAATCTAAAATATATTTTGTTTCTATAATTTGCATGTAAGGTTTCTGTAGTATGTCATACGATGCGAGTGATAAAGCATATAATTAAGACTTGGAATAATTTATGCTCTGCTTTTAAATAAACCTTAATTATTAACTCAACAAATTTAGATAAATCTTCGAAACTTTGCGAAATACAGTGAAACGCAATAATGGCGAGTTTAATACACTTACTTGGTGATACATTAACAGAAATAGCGTTAATAAGTGGTGAAGTATCTAACTCGAGCTTAATACACAATGGTTTAATGAGTTCTTTCTCTAATCTATTTAATTCTTCATTCCAATCACGAATATTTGTATCATCAATACCATTCTCTTCACGACTTTTTCCCAATTGCTCACTCAACTTGTTCAGATCAAATTTAATTTGTCGCCTGTGTACACTAGCATACTTGTATACTTTTTGTCTTTCTTCTTCAGCTGTTTGTTGAATTGTTTTAAGCGACATACGCTCCCATTCATTAATTTGTTCTATCAGTCCATGTTTTTCTAGATCATTCGTTTGTTCATTAAGAGTTTGTTGAAAGACATCTCGAGTAGTTATTACATCATCTAATTGTTTTCTAAGTTCTTGTCGATGATCCGTTAAATGATTGAAACAAAATTCTTTTAAACATCCACTACCATCTTAATGTTGCTTTTTCTTTATCACAGGTAACACAACGATTTTTACCTGTTATTGTGTCAGACGTTTTCATTTTTCTTTATGAAATGAAACTATAAAGAAAGAAAATTTTTTTTGTGTACACTCAAGTTACAACACAATAAAAGGCTTCGGTTGATAATATCAAACAAAATAATTCTTTTCCTTTTAAACCGAAAAAAAAAATTTCTAATATTATCGATAGTAAAGTTTATTTAGGGAATGAGAGTTAATATCGATTTTTATTAAATATTTAATAATAAATAAGCACAGAAAACATGTTACATGCTTGTTCTGGGATGCGGATTCGAGCATACAGACGCTTAAGAGAATATTTTTTCTTTTATTTTTTTGATAAGACATAAATGAAATCTTTTTCTTTCTTGAATCTACATGAAATGTTGCTGATTTTTCTTTTCTTTATTGACTATACTTACACGTGTTGTCTTACACGACTGGTATGTTATTCATCATCATTCGATGTACGAAAGAAAGAACGCAAATTCCCATGAGTGATGAAATTTCTAATAAACAACAATAGCATAAAAGACGACATCTACTCGATGTTTTTTTCATTCAACAGCCTTCGATAGGATGAGTGTCAGTGTGAGTATTTGTCTGCAAATAGAATGTAAACCAAATGCGCACACCCACACCCTCAAGACTGATTCAATCTGCAATAAAATGAAATATAAAACTTTAAACTGATTCTTTTTCTTTCATGGATAATAAAAAGAAAATATGAAAAATCATGTTCAATTCAAGAATAATGTTAAATTTTGCCGGTATTTTGTTGCATTTCCAGTATACGTTGAAGATTTTTCTCCACTTCAGCTTTTTCTGACTGTCTTGGTGGCTTCATTTGTGAATACATCTTCAATGCACGTTCAAAATAATAACGTGCTTGAGACAAATCACCTAATTTCATTTCTACCAAGCCCAATGTATTCAATAACTCAACAGTCTGCGATTGATTTGATAAATGAGTAAATTCGGAAAGTGTTAAAGCTTTTGTACCCACTTTCAATGCTTGATCATTATTCCCAAGTTCATGATGAATATTTGTTAACAAGACTAAATTTTGCGCCACAATACTTTCACTTTCCGATGTACCAGATTTTTCGTATAATGCCCGTGCTCGTTGTGCATAATCGAGAGCTTCATTCAGTTCTTTTCGACTTCGATGAGTATTTGCAATACCAATTAAACAGATCATCATTGAGTTCACATCATGTGGTTGAGTCGATTCGTGCAATGATAAGGCACGAGTATAGCACTTCATTGCTAAATCAAAGTGACCACGTTCATAGTGCAAAACTCCGAGTTCTACAAGAGTATCAGTACCGCTTGCACCTGCCTGAAACGAAACTATTTTAATCTATTTCATGCTCTTTGTTTAAATAAATATAACCTTTTGTTGCATTTGAAATGCTTGTCGATAACATTCGATTCCAGTATGATAATCTTGCTTATAATCGACTGATAGCTTACCGATGATTTTAAGAATCCTTACAGTCATTGGTCGAATTCGTCGATAAGCCTTAATAGCTTCATCAATATTTCCCTCTTTCAAATATTTATTTGCTTCCAACTCTTCTTCAGGTATTTGTGGACTGTTATTTCGTTCTGGTTCTTTTCTAAATTAAAGATCTTCTTATATTTTCTAAACGATTAAAATACGTACTTAATTTCAACTTTGAGTGGTGGTGGTGGCGTCGGTGGCTTTGGTGGTGTTGGTGGTTTTGTTAATTCATCAAATAATACTTGTACTGTCTTTCCCTTATTTTTTTCTCTATATTCTTGTACAAATTTTTTTCCATCATCAGAAGTAGTTTTCAATTTGATGACCGTTATCGCACTACGGCTGACACATATCACTCGAAAACTTGTAGCTACATCGAAAATAGTCGCCATTGAACCATTTTCCATCTGAACTTCAGCAAAATGAGCTGCTGCATCAAAATCAATTTTAAATAATACCGACATAAGATCTGTTCGGTAACCTGGTAATGCTGCTATTTGTAATTCAACATTTCTTGCTTTGCTACATAGAAAAAATCCATTGGCACAAACTAATTGACCTGTATGTGTTTCGAACAAATCTACTAATTCATTTGATAACTTCATTCCTCGAAAAAGTTGTCCATGACCCGAATGTTTCGAATGTTGTTGTTGTATGGAACGAATCGCATCATTGATAAGAAAATAATAAGGCGAGACTGAATCAATTTTAGGTGAGAAAAGTGCATGTCGCAAATGATTTGATGGAAAGGATGAACGAAAACACCATTGAAGTGAGTCATTCGGCCGATATGATCGATCAAATTCATCGACTGCTCTCAATCCTTTTGAATTTCCATGATAATAATTTCGAGCTTGTTCAACCAAATCATTTTTACCAGTTGGTGCTGGTTTTTTACTTGTTATCTAAGAAGGAAAAAACAAAGAATCGTAATAAATTTCTGGTAAAAAAAACTTACAACTTCTTTCCATAGTTGCCACCATAGAAAGCTTTGATCGGTTTCGAAAGTAAATCTTTCAAGTTGAGTTTGTTCGAATGTATCGAATGTTTCTTTGAGAACTCGAAGAAGTTCCTCCTGTTGATTAAAAATACCGAATAATTTCGGCAAATCTCCTCGAGTGGTATTCATATTAGGATCAAGTACAAACATTGCTTCAACATTTATGCATTGATGTATTGTAGATAAAAATTCTGTATTACTCGTTGATGAAATGAAAAAAATCGTTTCATGAGAACTTTGAATTGAATCTAAACAAACGGATATATCCGTATAAGTTCGTACACAATCATTGATAGAACGAAGTGCATTGACAAATAATCCTGCCGATTCTCGTCGAAGATCAAGCCATACGAATGTTACGCATTCACGATTGCTGTTTAGATCTGTTGAAGTAGAACCTACGTTTATTGCCATGAAAATCGATGAAAGTATGTTGGTTAATGTAACACAAGAAATGTGTGCGTGGCACGACAAATACTTTATAATTTATTCTTTTTCGTACAGATCAGAATGAGAAAAACAAAATTTTTCACTATTGTCAACTTTTAAGTGATGAAATGTTGATTTTATTCAAAAGTGTTTTAAAGCATTAGTTTCAACATTTTTTTTTCTTTTTTTTCATTCTCTTCAAACTATTCAATGAATTAATATATATATACATATCATTGAAGAACTAACTAAAGATAATTTCAAATCTAAATGGCTAAGACCCGTGTAAAAAAAAACACGAAAAAAATCCAGTTTTTACACACTTTTTTTGCGATTGAAAATCAATTAAAATTTTTTTCAAATAGAATAAAATGGCGTTATTTTAATCGATTTTTAATCACAAAAAAGAACGAATAAAATCGAATTTTTTGTGTGTTTTTTTTACATGAGAAGTCTTATACTATTTGCTGTCATGTCGAAATTTTGCTTGTCATCAAACTTGGACGGATGTGGGTGGGTGATAGTATTCTTCCTACACCCACATTCTGGGATGATTACCAGAGTGTATACAGAAAAAAATCTTACGACATCAAGAAAAATAAAAATATGGGTGTGGGTATCGCTTATTCTCTATCACCCTCACCCACACCCACCCACCCACACCCTATCATAATTGTTACATCGGATAATGTATGATCTGCAGATCCTGAATAAATTATTCTACATTACTTATACAGAATTATGTAATACGCGATGATTTCGATATTTAGACTTGTTAGTGTCATTTTTTTAAAGAGTTATTCCAATTCATGAGACAAACTAAGTTCATAAAGTATCTTCATGCGAAATAAATTTGATGGATTTTTGTAAGTTTTCACTTGCAACATCTAACTTAATACCGATAAAGAACAGTCGAATATATATTATATAGTTTTATACATCAGAATAAAAAGAGTCAATAAATACATTCATCTTCACATTTTGTTGTCAAGTGTCTCATTTAAATTCAACAAATTCTAACTGATTAAATATCACAGACAAATTTTATATTTATATCAAGTATGTGAAGAAAACAACAGTCATTCGTTTATGAGATAATTATACGACTAGAAGAGGTAAATAAATTTATTGCATAGTTCACAGTAGTATAAATACAACTGTTTGGTCTGGTAATTCATATATTTTCAGTATCATTTTTATTATGCGATATTTTCTTGTCGTTTTACTTGTGAGCCTTGTAATGGCACACACTATCCAGTGTTCTGCTATTCGATTCGACGAGGATCTTGATGATCGTGTTGAACGTGCTGATAGCGATGATATTGATGATCGTATTGAACGTGATGACAGCAATGATAATGCCCGCCGAGATCTTGGTAGAATCGTCGAATGCACCGAACAATGTACCAAATGGCAAATGTGTCGAGTAAAATGTCTGTTTAGTTTCTTCTGCAAATGTAATCAACCATCGGGATGTGATTGTAGCAAATTCATATGGGAACATTAGAACAAAACAATTTTTTTTCTTTATTGACCAAATAATTGTTTTTTCATCGTTTTCTTTTCATGAATTACTAAAGAATGTGTATCATTCTGGTTCGCAAAAGTGCGATACAATAAATTTGAAAATTCTTAACTTGCTTGGAAATGAAGAGAAAGAAAGGCAATCTAGAACAGATATCGGTGAGGGTATTGAAGACTCTTTCGCTCACATCTACTCCTTTATATTAATATTAAATAAAATTAATTGTATGAATAACTGTTTCATTGATGAACAATTAGAGATAGAATAAGTATTGCTACTATACTCATGTTTAATTAGTAACAGTTACTCGTCTACAACCATACGATAGTTTGAATCCTATTTTCTTTATATCTTTGAAATTGTACAACCTCAATACTGTAATTTGTAATCTAATAAAGAAAAGAAAAGAAATGAAAAGAGACGAGCCATGATCGATGGCTAACACAACTCTGAAGTTATGAGAAAGAAGCATTACTTTCGGTCTTTCTAGACCACAGTCATCGATCAATTCGACACTCGTTTTTTTTTTAATTTTTTTTTGTTAAATAATGAAAGTGTGGGTGTAGATGAGAAATTTGAACTATACCATCACCCACATTCACACTCACAGCTACTTCACTTGTTCTTTCATCAGTAAACGAAAGGATCCAGGAAAGACGTATCCTTATTGAAATAAATAATGGTCGTTATTTATAAAACTTTACTTGCAAAATAATTTATTATTAAAAATCTATTACTGTTGATCCAATTTTATGCATCTAAAGTACATAGATTTGTATTAGCAAAAATAATTTTATTAATGATTATTCACTGTAATTAAGAAAGAAAATAATCAGATATACATTTCATTAAAAATATCTATCAAATAGAATACTTTTTTTAATCAATAGTAGATTTATGTAAGTTGACTCATCAGTTTAAATATTGTTTGTAGATTAGAGTAACATATCAAAAGTCAATAAACTAAACTTGGTTAATACAAAAACGACTCCGAATGGTTTTTTATTATGCTTGAGTGAATCGTGATTTTATATACAATGAAAAACAAACCGTCGATAATATGACTCAGTTCCTTTGCGTTTTTTTCTTCTTTACTCGGAACAAAATACCTATAATTTTTATCTCTTTTGCGTTAATAAATATATTCGACTCGGAAGAAGCACACGTATTCATTTTTGATACTATATAAATCAGAGGTAATTTATATACTTGATCAGGTCACTGGTCTATTCGAAAGTAAATATGCATTAATTTATTTAAACTTTGCTTCTTTTTTAGTAAACATAAAGGCATTATTATTATTAATTTATTGGTAATACTGTAAACCAATATATATTTTATTAGGATCAAGGCAGTATATATGTTTTCATAGAGAAGAAAACACATTTATTCATCTTTTACTGTTCAGAGTAATAATTTTGATATTTTGTAGATAAATATTAGTCTAACAATTTATACAAATTATAGTATTCGATATGGCCTCATACTATCAAAAGAATAATACGCGAATGTCATTTCCAATGTATTTTGGAGGAAATACAAAATTTGGTGATGGTGCATCAACTCCATTGCAGATGATTAATTTACATGTTGAACAACAAGTAAATACAACTTTTCCACTCCTACATCAAGTAGCAACAACAATGACTTTCAAAAATACACACAATCGACGATTAGAAGGTGCACTGGAATTTACATTACCACAAACAGCTACAATATGTGGATTTGGTAAGTACAAATTCTGAATAAATAAGAGACACTAATTAATATTCATGTTCTTGTCTTTTTTGTTAGGTCTTGATGTTGATGGTCGAATTGTTGATGGTGTTGTTGTTGAAAAAGAAAAAGCTCGTGTTACATTTGAAAAAGAAGTTCGAAAAGGAGTTGATCCTGGTTTTGTTGAGATGGTTGCAGGAAATATATTTCGTACACGAGTATATCCAATCGAAGCTGGTGGAACACGAATTGTTCGTGTTATTTATCAAGATCAAGCACAGATCGATAATGATAGTTTTATCTTCAATATTCCAATTTATTTTACAACAACTCTTCATAGTTTAGATATTAAATTAATTTGTTCAGAGATTTCAAATAACTCAAAACCAACATTTATCTCCAAATGGAGTTCTAATCAACAGTTTATCCAAACAAATGGTAAATATTATTCTGAACTTCATCTCACCAATGTGAAACCACAACAAGATGAAGAATATATTTCATATAAGCTAAAAAATTCTAGTGCATCACAATCACTTTGTGGTGTAGAAGTTGATATTGATAATCCTGATAAAGCATATTTTGCTTTATGTTATATTCCATCATTAATATCAAGGAAAAATAATAAAATGTTTAATTCTCGACAAACATTATCACTTTGTATATTATGGGATGGAAGTTTAAGTCGATTTAACATTGAAAATCGTAATTATGAAATAAATATTCTTGAGAAAATATTAAATATTTGGAAATCAAATGGTATTAATATTAATTTAACATTAATTATCTTTCGAAATGTATTAGAAGATGCGAATCTATTTCAATTCTCTGATCCTAATGCTTGGTCACAAATTCATCGTATTTTAACAAATCTATCTTATGATGGTGCAACAAATATATTTCAACTGTCTACTATTCCAACTATGTTTCCTAATGTGACACATTATTTTTTATTTAGTGATTGTTTATCAACAATTGGAAATGATGATTCTATTCTATTCAATAATTTTTTGATGAAACCGATCTGGATCTTTAATGCAAATGTTGTCCAAGATGCAATTAATTATCCATTAATCAATTATTTAACAACTCTAAGTGGTGGTGGATATATTTCACGTGATAAAATCATTCAAGAGAACAATGGAAATGATATTATTGAATGGATTGAAAGTTTACAATCACGATATAATAATATAGATATTGTTAATAATGGAAATATACATAATATTTATCCAAGTCATTCAATAACATTAACACCAAATACAAAACAATTTATTCTTGTTGGAAAACTATCTTCTTCAAGTTCAGCTAAAATTGCAATTAATTTGACTATTTCAGGTGTTATACATCGTCAAGAATTTGATATACCACAAGCTAATCGATCATCAGAAAACTTTGGTTTATTACGACGACTTTATGCTAAACAAATGTTAGCTGAATTAACGGCGTTTCCTGAAAAAAATAAAGAACGAATATTAGATATTGATATGAAATATTCGATTGTTAGTGATTCAACATCAATTATTGTATTTGAAACTTTACAACAACATATTGAACATAAAATATGTCCACATCGATCAAGGACTAAATTATATGATGATTATATGAAATATCAACAAAACAAAAATCAAGAAAAAAACAAAACGAAACAAGAAAAAATTACAGCTGTGTTAAAGTTATGGAATCAACGTTGTCAATGGTATGATAAAATCATCTCTGAAAATGATCGTATAAAAGCGTTCAA